GACCCCTCATAGCCCCGCTTCCGGTACTCCGACATATCTGACAATCCGGCACCCCCTGGGTCCTAAAGGAGCTGGATTATCGGAAGTTAACTGTACATTTCAGGGCAATTCAAAACTCTAGATCTACTTAGTCATATGTTGTATTTGGACCCAGTAAATTCAGGAGTATGATTATATGAAGAGTTTCCCCTGAATTGATTGCACATTCAGTGTTTGTCATCTACTATTAAACCACATCTTTTCAGCCTATGGAATACTCCACTATATTCTATGTAAGAGCTGGAAGCTGATAAAAACAGATTATCACATACGACTTCAAATATCTGAAGGCATCTGATTAATTTTAAATTCTACTCATTAGGAAATACTGTATGCATGAGAACTGTATTGACAGCAGTTGAGGAACTCACTGCAGTGCTCTGACCCAGAGGAATTAAAGCGAAACGTTCCTGTTCTTAGAAATCAGTTAATTTGCATAAAATCTTGAAACAAAGAAAATTATCTCTTTCCTTGTAAGGATTAAATTCCAATCCATGTTGATGTATTAGAAATTAACCAAATGGCTAAAATAAGCAGGTTCACTCAGATACTATAGTGTTGAATATTGTATATATACCTCAGACAAAGGACTGGATTTAAACCTTGCCTAGACACACAAGATGCTCCTGTTGGACTCAGCTTGGTTACAAAGAGATTTTGTTAAACCACTGCTGACTGAAGTTAACGGATGCAACCAATTTTAAAGTGATAGAAGTGTATCTAAACTGGGGTTTGCACCAATTTAACTAAATCTTTTTATCAAGTTTAGTTAAACTAGTGCAGTTCTGTGTGTAGACCATACCTGAGAACAATCAGACCACCAAACAGCTATCATTCATAGGCATCAATTTTGAGATTCTCCAGAGCCTCCTGCCCCAGAGGTAAACGGTTACATATCCCCTTTCCAGTGCCCTGAGCCAGTTAGTCTAGATCTTATATTTTTTTAAAAGCATGGAGAGGCAGACTGCTGCTCTAAGGTTGAAATGTATAGAATGTGCAGTGTATATTGTGCCAATAAACTGAATCTTGAGCAAATTCCGGTAGTAGAAATAGTAGATGTTCCTTTTGGCTGTGGGATGGAAAGGGGAGATCTGTAAAAGAATTTTGCTTAACAAAGATACCCTCACAGAGAGAACTCACCGGGGAAACCTAAAAAATCATTGATTAGCGGTATGTTCTGAGCTTATCTTGCATTTACTCATCAGGCACTGTAGAATTGACCCAAGATTTTAATAGGGATGTAAGACACTAGTCAACTATCCAATAATCATATGCTTATCAGATAGTCGACTAGTGACTTGACTAATTGCTTCTCCCCCTCTCCCTCCCCGCTGCCTCTACCAGAGAAAGGCAGCAAGGGGCGGGGGAGCAGGACCTGGTACGGGGGGAGCTGTCTTAAAAGCCGGTTCTCTCCCAGAACTATCTCTGGGAGGCGGATAGAAGAGGCAGAGGCATAGTGGGGGACTGGGCGCAAGCCGGGATAGCTGATTCCCAGTTCACCCCCGGTTCTCCCTCCCCCCAACACTTTAGTCTTTTTAATACATTTTTTAAATACACTTAAAGGCAGAGTTGCAGCAGGATTAGCTCCCAGGGCCAGGAGCTAACCCCACTGCTGCTCTGCAGTTTCCCCCCCTTAACAACTAATTGACTAGTTGATGGACTCGATTAGCTGATTAAACACTGCTTAATATCCCTAGATTTTAAATCTACATAGCCCCCAAAAAAGTAAGGGAGATCCAAAGAACATGGAGAAAACCTCAGTGTATAAGCTTGGGGGGACAGATCTTGATTCTGTTCCTTGATCTACCATGGACTCCTCTTGTGACTTTGGGCAAGGCACTTTACCTCCCTGTACTTCCTTCTCTGCCTGTAAAATAGGGATTGTAAATGACTTTGAGATCCATGGATATAAGGTGCTATAGTAATAATGCCTCACTCTAAAGTAGGGCAAAATATTGTTCTTTTTATTGGTATATATCAGCAAGAAAATGCCTTGGATTTTACTTATTGTTCTTTCTCTGAAATATAAGGTGTAAACTGCTGAGAGACAAGCTACCAGAACCATGGACCATTTCTTTCTTTTCTCTGCTATAGCAATTCTTTACCTGAGGGTTCACGTTGAACCTCAGATTCTACTGCATTGTGCCTGCCTACTTTGTGTGTCCATATTCACATGAGAATTTTATTTTGGAAGTAAAGATGCTGTAAACATGAACAGTTATTTGCCTAGAATATTTCGGAAGATTTTCATTCTCACTAGGGATGTAATAGGATAGTCTATTAACTGATTAACTGATAAGCAAAAGCTTACAGGTTAATGCTATAGACTATACGCATTCCTCCTCACCCCCACCCCTTGCCAGTAAATTTTTTAGCAGGATGGCCAGCAGCCCAGTCAGTCTGGGCTTGCACTGGGTCCTGGACCTAGCCCTGCTGCCGCTCTGCATTTAGAGTATATTAGGAGCCAGGCGGGCAGGCTGGCCGTCTTAGTTAGGCTCGTGCCGGGTCCAGCAGCTCAGACCCCTCCCCCCCAGGCAGAGGCTACCCGGGGACTATAGAATAGTCGACTAACTGATAAGAATTCATGAGGTTAATCAACTATTCAATTAACTGATATTTAACATCTATAATTCCCACTGTATCAAGAAAAGTATCAGTCATTCTTCAGGGAGCCCTAAAACATCTCACCTGCTATATTAAGTTTACTTACTTTAGTCCTCTCCATATGATAGAAGGGGGTGGATGTATTTGAGACACAACTGATATTGCTTTGCACTCTCTCATTTTCTCACCATTTCCTTCCTTCCTATCAATGCACCAGCACCTAAAGAGCTATAATAACTGAGTATGTGGATTACATCTAGCACAATAGCAGCAAGACAGTATAATTTTCTGACTAGTCAGACCTGAAACATGCCATTAAACTTGAAAGATCTTTAGTAGTCAGAGGGATTGTTAAAGCCTCTGGCATAGATTGTGAATCAGATAATGCCAATAAATAAACATTCAGTTTAGAAATCAGCGGGGGATAGATGTCTGGTTTTGTTTAAAATTGTGCTTAAAAATTGTAACATTCAATAGCTAAAAGTGTATTTAGAGCATAAGTATGACAAGATCACTATTTTTTCTACCGCTAACCCTTTTGTTTTCAATTGTATAGGTTACCATGAAGGTTCATCTCTTGCCATAGAAATGGATACATAGCAGCTTGCAAATCTGATGGTACAAAACTCACTCAGACAGGTCAACGCTTTATTTTCAGGTGACTCATAAAGACAGTCTGGCTCTGACATAGGATTTCTTCTAAGGCCTTGACATTTATCCTGTTTGTCTGTTTCCCCTCCTGTAAAATACTTCATAGGGACATTGTGAGGATTAATTACGACATGTTTGTACAGAGCTTTGAATAAAGAAGTGTGAGATAAAGAATGGGAGGTTGGGTTTTGGGGAGGGGGGGCATTTTTGGGGTTTTTTTTTATCTTCTCTGTTCTGAATAAATTTCCAAGGACTGTGGTGACTTGTTAGCGTGGTGCACAGACTGTTGCCTTTAGTATTCTTTCTTTCTTGTTCAAAGATCTAGAACAGTGTTTCTCAACCTTTTTTTATAAAATACCCCTTTTTTTAAAAAAATTATAAGTATCCCCAGTACCTACAGTTTTCAGACACACACAATTTTTTTCTACCATTGCAACACATTTGTTTAAACAACTTAATGGTAGCTGGGCGGGTGATGAAATTTTTGGTGGTAAAATTACAAAAAGAATAAAGCACTGTAAAACTTAAAACAGTTTTCTTCAAATTTCAGTTGTATTGACATACCCCTAAGGGTACTAGTACCACTGGTTGAGAAACACTGATCTAGAAAATAAAATTTCCATAACTCTGACCTGTTTCTGAGAGCTAAAAGCTCCCTTTGGTTTACATAGCCCAGAAGACCACTGAAAGGCATTTAACTTGTAGTAAAGGATCAAACAGTTGTGAGGTGTTTGGTGGTGGAATGTGGCTGGGCAGGATATTCCCTAAGATGTAATCGTATCTCTCCCCTACATAACCACAGGAATGAAGTACTGTTTCATGTAAAGTGATGGGTAGGATCTGTAGAGTAGAGAGGAATTGGGAATAGCCATGCTACATGTAAAGTCCTCTTTTATGCAAAACTCAAGCCTAAACTACAGTACCTTACAATGTTCAAGTCAGTAGTGACTCTCCCATGTGGATTTTTCTCATCATGGATGACCCTGGGTATAGCAGCAGATGGCATGGACTGGGAGAGGAGTCAGGTCCTTTGTGTCAGAATATCACTGATCCATCAACTTAGCTCCCATACATTCTGGCCTTCACAATATTGGGATGGGCTGTCACGAGTCCACTCAATTATAAGCTATGCCCTCCTCAAGTCTCTGTGAGGAGCCAGGCAATGAGGCAGCACTGACTTAGGAGACAGATCTACTTCTCTTTCTGTGCTGTAGGTAGGGCAGTGGGTAGACAAAGAGCTTTGTTCAGTGTGTTGAGTAATTGTATATTCTGTTCTAATGCTGCGTATTCTACAATCTAGTACCAGGCTTCAAAGAAGAGGGCTATGTCTACACTACAAAGAAAATTTGGAAGAAGATTCCACTTTTCTTCCAAAAGAGGCTTTTCCAACATTTGGCCCATCTACATGGGGCCAAATGTTGGGAAAAAACCCTCTTTTGGAACATCCCTTCTTCCTTGTAGAATCAGGTTTACAGGGATGCCGGAAAAAACACGTCTGCTTTTTAAAAATTTTTTCCAGAAAAGCAGAAGTGTTCCTTGGATGCCTCTGGGTATCCTGGAAAAGCTCTGCAGTGTAGACATAGTCAAGGTCGAAGGCCAAGATCCACAGCCCTGAGAGACATAGTTATATCGACCTAACCCTGCCGCCCTCCCATGTTGACAGTGCTGTGTTGGGTGTAGAGTTTTTCTGCTCAGTATAGCGACTGTGGTGGATTTGCTATGGTGATGATGTAGTAGCATCTTCACTAAAGCTCTACAGCTGCACCGCTATCGTGTGCTACATGAAGACAAGCCCTAAAACTATTTGATAAAGTATTTGTTACATCTGTTGCATATTCATGTACTTTCTTCTGAAGATGATGATACTCTCAACCTAGGAAGGAAAAGTTGCAAATCTTGTTAACTATTGAAAGGCACTTGGGGCATGTCTAGCTTACATGCCTTTGCCGACAGAGGCATGTGAAATAGGCTACCTGACATAGTCAATGAAACCATGACTTAAATATCCCTGGCTTCATTAAAATAAAAACGGCCACCGTGCTGTGCCAGCTCAGCTGATCGTTGGCACAGAGCACAGATCAAGATGCAGATCGGTCAACAAAGTAAACCTTTGTCGACCGCTCCTGTAAACCTCGTTTCACGAGGCATAAGGGAGCGGTCAACAAAGGCTTCCCTTGTCAACCAATCCGCATCTTGACTCGCGTGCTGTGCTGACAAACAGCTGAGCCAGAACAGCGCGGCGGTCGTTTTTATTTTAATGAAGCTGGGGATATTTAAATCCCGGCTTCACTGACTATGTCGGGTAGCCTACTTTACATGCCTCTGTCGGCAGAGGCATGTAATCTAGACATACCCTTGCTGGCTTATATGCGTTGAATGTGCTAGTGAGATGGCAAAGTATTGAAGTGAACAGGTGTCAGAACAATGCTTAGCTTATTTTTCCTGTTTCTTTAAATTACAGCTTCTTCTCAGGAGCCAGCATCTTCTCTTTGCACAATGAATTGAAGATGAGGAAGGAAATGGATCTTCAGGATAAGAAAATATGATGAAGCGTTATCTGATTGGAATCCTAACATTCTAGACTGATTGTCCAGAATACCTGCTGGGCAGATCTTTCAGGGCTTTACAAGTTCAGGGTGTTTTTTAAATTAATGTCTAAGTGGAGCAGTTCCATTGAAAATGGTCAGGGAAAACTGGCATGAATCATTCCCTTTTAATAGATAATATATATATGTAAATAATTATATCCATAATAGGTGAAAGGTGTTGGTATAAATGCATTTCCACAGGCTTTCCCATTGCTGCAAACACCAGGAACTCTAAATCTCAGAATACTTCAGGTCTTTATATTCCCAGGCAGGCTGTTTAGCTTGGGCTTGATTCTTCAGCCTTTACTCACAGTGAGTAAAATTTACACATGAATCAACAGAGTTGCTTAAGTATTACTCAATGTGAATCAGGTTTGCCAAATCAGGGCCTAAAATTGGTGGAGCCCTTTGTGTGTACGTGCAGTGTATATTTAGATAACATACAAATACATGCAACTGTATTTGTGCATAAAATACCTGCTCATGCTGGCAGAATCAAAGTTAATATGCCAAGACCACTGATGCTTTTGTCTAGAAATGCATTATCTGCCATAAGAATTTGAGGTTTACTGGCCTTAAAGCACAATCCTGTAGCACATACTCAAATGTTAAAGGGAATTTTAGACAATGTAATGACTTCATTTAATTCCCAGGCCTAAAATATGGATATCTAACAGTCACACAGAGCACAGTCTTCTTCCCCTTCCCACCAAGATCCACATTTTACAAAGGTTTTTAATAAAATGTTTGCAGTTCCATAAACATTGACTTGCATTGAATGTATGGCTCTCGCAGTGATGGGAGCCCAACCTCAACTAAAATAGTTTAGCCCCATAATCCTGCATATAGCAGCTGATGTATTGTATTAGCTTAAATTTCTGTCTGATTAAATGTATTGACTGGTGTTTTTAAGATTTGATAGCACCAAGCTATGGTCAGATTTTCCAGTTAATCTGCATTCCTTTGACTGAACAGCATTGTTATAGATTTTTTTAAACTAGTTTTGCAATCAAGAATTTTATACTAGGTAGTGGAACTGGCAGTTTGGTTTGTACATGTTACGCAGTTATAGGTTTTAATTTTCTCTTTCCACCTCTAAGATTCAGGCTTGGCAGCTCCATCATCATCCATGTTGGAAATTAGATGTTTGTTTCATAACACGAATGTATTGACAATACTATTAGTTCTTAAGCTTAGTTCATAAGATCAATCAATATGCTTACTATATATCATTTTAGATTCAGCTTTTTATTTAGTATCAGTCTTTACTGTTGACAGTCCCTGAAACAGCAAGTGTAGATGTGATGAGAAAGTGCTTGATAAATGTCTGTTTAGTGACAAAGGCCTTATCTATAGAATAGACTTTTTTCCCCGAGACTCTTCTGTTGCTTCTAAGAGAGGATGATACACCAGTAGTAGCAGCTGAAAATTTCAGAGAAAAGTGCCCCCATGTAAATAACAGTCCTCCCATCTTCTGTCACAAATATGAACCACTGCTTTTGGGAGAGACATTTTATACTAGTCTTTCATCTCTGAATTTAAATCCTGGAGCTAGTAATTAAACTCTTGCTTTCAGCAGCAACATATTTGACAATCATCCAATTTAACTCCTAGAAGCTGGGGTAGGTATGACTTCAGAGCATGCCCGTATCCTAGTGTGGGTTCTCTTCTCATCTCTGTTTTGAGTGTGCTAGCTAATTAATTTTTGCATGTTCCCAATTGATAGGACCTCAGACACCTTATTTCATAGCTGTTCTGTTATCAGGTCCTCTTAGGTAGCATGAATTTTATCAAATCTAAATCTTCTTTTCTTTAGTTTAAGCCCATTACTGTGTCTAATAATCCTTAGTCAACTTCTGTTAAGACTTTTTCCTTTCATTACATTATTTTGTGTGAAATATTGAGGAAAGATGGCAGTGAAATCAAAGTAATTACCTAATCTCATGCAAAATGTGTTTAAAGGGAGATTTTCAAAGGAAATAATAGCAGGTAAGTTTCTAACTCCCATGGAAAATAAATGGAAGATAGGTACTTAACTGTGCCTTTAAAAATCTTTCCCTGAATCACTACTAACTCTTTAAAATTTCTTGTGTATAAAAATGTAGGTAAGAAATGAAGCAGGAAGCTGCCATATTGTCCACTAGCTTGATTGTGTCCTTCAGGGCAGGAAGAACAGTGCTGTAGCCAGAGCCACATAGAGCTCCTGAGGTTTTTTTAGGTGGGCTTTTATCTCTCTTGTTTTGTTTTGCTGTTTACAGCCATGTAATTCTTTCATTTTTTGCCAAAGCTTACTGTTCAGTAGTAGCCGGAGAGTATATAGAATGGGCTATACAAGTTTCTCCTCTCTGCTCGCTGGCTGCAACTTTGACCTTCTTTTCATGGTAGATAAAATCAAGCTGGATTTCCTGTAGCAATCATCATTAAAATGGCAGACCTTCAGTGTTTATACTGCTCTCCAGTTCATAACAGGGGACAGTCTGAAGTAATTGTAGGTATTTTGAAATACCATTTGAAATGTCCATGCTTAATTTAAATATGCTAATTTTAAAAGCTATTCTTTTAACTTGGCAACTATCTCCTGTTCAGAAAGAAACTAATAGTTACTTAGCAGTTCAAAATGCACTTTAAAAAAATCAGTACCTAACATTCACAGCAGTCAGTTTTTAAGAAGCTCAAAACTACATGTACTTAGAGAATAAAATAAATGCTGAAGATGAATTAAAGTGAAGCATGACAAATATAGTACAGAGTAGAAGTGTCTGACACAATAAACCAGTGTTCAAAATAAACCTGTTTGCCCAGAAGAAATGATCGTACTATAATTGTAGATCTAACTTGTGGATGCTGCAGGCCAATGCAACAGAGTAGAGTTGTGTGAAAACCTTACATCCCCAGAAAGAAGCTAAGTACAGAAAACTGTATTGAACATAGTTATGCTAAAAATTAAGAGATACAGTGTGCCTTTGTTCCCTTCCTTAAGAGATTTTCTGGATCTGCCTTCTTCCTAGCTGCATGTAGATGAATAACCAGGTCCTTTGGGGAACCCTAGCACCTCAAAATATTTCTGCTGAGGTTTCCCTTCTTTGATGATGTATTGTGACTATAGCTGTATTCCTAAGGTCACAGACAATGACATACTAAGAAGTGTGACGCTTCATCAGTATTTTTCATCATTCAAAAGGATTCTGTCAGCTTGAAATCTAGTCACGTAAATATTGAGTTAAATAGTTTCAATAGTATCTGTGATGTGTTGTGATTTTATAGTCAGTTTCCCATTTATTCTTTTAAATGATTTCCTCTTTCCTTCCATGTTGTTGCAGGAAAGTTGCACATGAACATTAGGGGAAATTCACATTGTGCTATCAAAAGCACTACATAAATGCACTGAAAAAACAGACTGTTTCTCTAATCATTGTGATAGGTGACAAAAGGAGGTAAAAATAGTCAGCCAGGAGTATGATTTTTAACATTACAATAACCCTGTACATTTAAGGGAAATACGCATTTTCTTTTTCACTGGTGCTATTTGCTAGGCATATTTTTATGCTACACCACAAAAAGAAACAAGAAGTCCTATGATATCAGCAGGATCCAGTTGTGTGTCTGTTCTTGCCAAGGAAAAGAATGGGCTTCACAGGTGTAAAATGAATCCCAGAAAACAGGAATTAAAACTCTATTAAACATTTGGAGCACAATCCTTCAAGCACAGTGTTTCTCAACCAGTGGTACGAGCACCCTTAGAGGTACTTGAGAGAAGTCTGGGGGGATATGTCAACACAACTGAAACTTGGAGAAAACTTAATTTTTGTTTTAAGTTTTACAGTGCTTTATTATTTTGTACTTTTTACATCCAAAAATGTCATCGCCCGACCAGCTACTATTAAGTTGTTTAAACAGATGTGTTGCAATAGTAGAAAAAAAATGTCTCTCTATAACTATAGGTTCTGGGGGTACTTACAATTTTTTTTAAAAAAGGGGGGGGTACTTATATATATTATTTAAAAGGGGTGCTTTATAAAAAAAAAAGGTTGAGAAACACCGTTCTAGCATATCCCAACATTTATTTTTTAATTATGTGAATGCAGTACTCCTCAGAGGTGCTAAATGGAGAGCCCTGCAAACTGTACTGTTTAGCTACAAACTGGGCACAGTACTAGTGGCAGCAATATGAACTTTCCTCTGAAGGGAACACCTCTAGGGCTATAATAGCTGACAGCCTGCTTTGAGAAATGAAGGCTCAAATGGACCTACGTTGCCGGTTAGTGCTATCTGTGGTGGCTTTATGTGCTCTGGATCTGGAAACTGGATTAAAATCCCTAAACTCAATTTATGTAATTCACCAAATAACAATCAGAGTGTAATTTTTAGTCACAGCCCACCTGAACTGAATTCAGACCAGAGAACTAAAGATTAAAAGCTGAACATGGGTTCCTAAAGTATCTGGAAATGTTAAACATTAAATATTTTTCATTAATTTAGATCAAAGTCTAAAAACCTGAGGATTGAATCCCCCATCCAAAAGCACATTCACTTTATACTGATTGTGGTACTCACGTGAGATGATAATAATTTATTTGTCCTATCCTCCGCTTCCTTTTCCACAACAGAACTGACCACAAGTACTATAAATGCTTTTCCCAGTGAATATCACCCTATGTACAAAGAAGGCTATGGGTAGATTTTACTGTAATATGAATCATTCTGTCAAACTGCCTGTCTGATGAATAACAATTCAAAATATCCCACTGATAAACAGGTAAGGCATCATATCGGCAGCACAGGGTGTCTTGTGATAAGGCCCCTCCTTCACTTGTGAATTCTTTTCCGAGGAATTAGTGTTTGTAAACATCTCTGCACTGCAGTTTGTTTTGTAAATTTGGACTCTTGCTGAATCAGTGAAAGATGTTTCGGAGTAGAGTAAGTTTTTGTGTTCCTTTAAGCAAGCAGTACTGTACATTTTTAATAGACTGTACTTGTTGCATGTAGGTGTACTGTGATCAGGACTAGGAAGCGTTCTATTAGCATGACAGTGTGATGAATGTTTACTTCCCAGAAATGGCCAGAGCTGTGGTTCAGCAAATCTGCAGTGTATTTGAAGTGTAGGTGTGTACTGTGGCACTGGCTGAAAGCACAGTTTTGTACCAGTTACCAGACTAGCTGCATAAAGTCTGTAACACAATATGAATGTGACATGTCAGGAAAACTTTCTTTGTATCTAACCATGGGGGTGTAGAGATTTTAAAGTTGCATTCTGGGAACAACTGCCTTCAGTACAGTTGTTAAGCCAGCACAGCAGACTTGCCATTAAATATGGCTGATTGTTTCACAGAAGTGTTAAGAGAACTGACCAGTAATAATTGTAAGCAGGTTAACAAAATACTGCTGCACCTAGCCTGTTAGGCCTGAGTCAGCTCAATGTTATACGTTCTTTTTGTGTCGGTGTTACAGTGGTTTGAAACTGAGCTACTTGAAAAATATCTTGTTCTTATGGGTATTTTTCAGTTGTCCGTGGGTGTTCTGCTGCAGAATATTTCAAACAGGCTGAGATTTTCCCCCACAAACTATCAATTAAAAGCATTTGCATGGCAGAGTTGCTTTTTCATTTAAATTAATGTTCTGTCACCAGCTGGTAAGATGGCAACCAATTCAGAGATGGGGCATTGGATATGTATTTTTCCTTATCCTTTCCTCTTTTTATTTCATCTCTATTGATTCACTTTTTGGATCATTAACAGGCCACCAAGATTATATCAGTTTGCTCATTTTAGTTTTTACAGGTTTTTCTTCATTTAGTTAAACTCTTTTTACTTTATATTCTTTTTCCTTCTGATCACATGCAAATGTCTTACAATTGATAATTTTTCAGCCAGGTTCACTTTTTCCTTTAATTACTTTAGCAGAGAGTAGATGGAAAAATCTTTTTAAAATGTTGTTACAATGCCAGTTATTTGGTGATGGGTATCTATACATCTCCCCTGTCTTTCTGATTTAGTTTTTCGCTCACTGCAGTGAGATCCAATTTTCTATATTTTTCTTTGAATGCTTAAATACCTGATTGTTTTTTAAAAGAATATTTTATTGTTTTCTGGCTACATCTTGAAATTTTAAAAATTGGTGGTTATTGGACTTTACATTCTATTTCAAGTCAGAACAAAAATATGTTAAGCCTGCAAAGATTCTGTTTAAAAATATGCATTCTATATCAGGATTTGAGGTTTGAGCATCAGGAGTATAACTGGTATTGGAAAAGTCCTTGATTGTTAAAATACACAAAATGGACAAAGAGGTCATTCTTGCTTTTATTACAGTTTTGCTTAGGAAAAGTATTATTTTTGCACTGGATGCTAATATAAATAGACCATGTAATGCAAAGGTGATTTTACTAAATAGAACATTTTTGCTACTTGTAACTAACTTTGGATCAAATCAAAGGACAAAAAGGTGTCTCTTCCCCATCTGCAAAGGCTTTGCAGTAAAGCATCTATTATAGACAATGTGTTTCCTTCCATGCAGCTCCTTCATGGTGTATATATCTTTCTCTTTCTCCCCTAGGCACTGTGTTCAAATTCATGACACAGGCATATGGTATCCCTAACCTTGTAACAAACCATCCTAATTCTGATGCAGATTATGGGTAAAGAAGCCAAAGCCTAGTGCCTGAGACCAGGTCTACACTAAAAGGAACATCTAATCAAGATACACAACTCCAACTACGTTAAGTACATTTCTGAAGTAGATATACCTTGTTTTGTGTTTCCCAACTGTCTCCACAGCGGGAGACCAACGGGAGCAAATGCTCCTGTTGGCTATCCTTACTTCTCACAGAACCAGGTGTACCAGATGCTTTTAGCAAGTCTTGACTACACTCACTAAATTGAACTCCAGAAGATTGATCACGACATCATCGATCTTCCATTTAGTGAAGACATGGACTAAGAGGTCGGCAACCTATGGCTTTCGAGCAAAATATGGCTCACTAGGGAGCTAGATATGGCTAATCAGTCCCCCGCCCCAGTTACTCCCACAGCAGGGAGTCAGTGCTGGCGCTACAGCCTTATGGCCCCCTAGAAGGTTGGAATGACAGCGCCAGCTTCCTGCAGGGGAGAAAGCCCTGAGCCTTTTGCCAGATCCAGTGTGCAGGGAACAAGCAGGGAGCATGTGCTGCCCTTTTCCTTCCCTTGTTTGTGAGGGAAACAAGCAGCCAAAATTCCTGGAGGCTTCTTTCCAGTGCACGGGAGGCCTGTTAAGCATGGCACAAAAGCAAGTGCCCTTCCACCTCCTCATGCCCACACCCCGCACCTGAACCCCTTTCACTGGCTCCTTTCTCCCCAGCCTGCTCCTGCCTCTTGTCCATTACACCCTTGCCAGTCTGCCCCTGGCCAGACATCCTTCTCCCCGCCTGCTCCTGCATCCTACCTCCCACCCAGACCATGCACCCTCAATTCCTCCTATACACAACCTCTCACCAAGATCTTGCACCTCCCATTCCTATCCCATTCACTGGCAACCCTGTCCTGCTCACTTAACCCCTTGAACCTATCCTCCCTGAGCAACAGGGGAGTGAGGTATTTTAGTTGGGAGCCACATCATCAGTGAGGGTTGGGGGGGCTTCTTGTTTGTTTGCTTCTTACCCTCTGCCCCTTAACCAGACCTCATACCATCACCCTCTCTTACACCCCACCTCCTGCCCAAATCCTGCACTCCCATCCCTATCCCACCAGTAGCCCTGTCCTTTGCACTGGACCCCTCACTTTTGGTCCCAACCCAGAGGCTGAGGGGGAACCACAAAATCCACTAACCCTGGAACTCCACAAGAGTAAATCTGGCCCAAGACTGTGAACTACTCCTCCCTGGCCCTCCCCCCACTATTTTAGGATTAGGGATTTTTGGAGGGTGTGTGTTTTTTTTCTTCTTACTTGGGTGGTCCCCATCTGATTGGGTCAGTGGCCCTGACCCAAAAAGGATTCCCCTCCCGTGCCATAAATAAAGACAATATTGAAACCTTTTGTGTTGGACATTATATTTTACTTTATTTAAAAATAAAGCCTGGCCAACAAGCCCCCAGTTGGAGACCAGCCCTCATCTGGCTGCAGTGTCATAACACTTCTGTACCACCCCCACACCAATCCTGAGCCCCTTATACACCTGAACTCTCCACCCTGAGTCTCTTATCTCCCCAGACTCCTGCCATAAACATTCTTGCACCCACCCACACCTCAACCTTGTGCCAAGTCCATCATACCCAAATCCCCTGGCCTGAGCCCTTCATACACCCCAACACAGACTCCTGCTTCCCCAGTCCCCTGCCATAAGATTGACAGAAGACAACCTGAATGCATGTCTGAAGCTGGATTTGACCCGTAATTACATTAACTTCAAAGAAATGTGTGAAAAGATGCAGCAGCAGACAACATCCCATTAAATAAAGTCTGAGTACAATGTTTCATTTATGCTATTATTAATCATGTCAGTTATCAATAATAAGTTGCATATTTTAAGTCATGCAAATGGGCATTCTTATACATCTCTTTGTTGACCACTTGTTCTGAATTTTAATGTAGTTTGGCTCTTTGGTTTGAAAAGGTTGTCGACCCCTAGCCTAAGATCTTGTCTACACATGAAAGTTATTCTAGTGGAAGGTAGGGTGTGAATTTAAGTTTTAATCGCTATTCCAGAATAATTTGTGTGTAGACAAAGGCCCAAGTACCATTTAAAAATTCAGGTTGCTTCATTTAGGCAGAGTGTCTATTTTAACTTCCGCCAGTTCTTTTGTAAAGTGTTTAGGTATCCTCCTTTAGGGAATGACTGGAGCTATCACTTAGTCAAGGGATATTCCCATTCAGTAAGTTTTTAAAAGAGGAGCATTTCAAAACAAGTATTTTTTAAAGTTCTTACTTTGCCAGATGTAAACAACCTTCAACCTGTTAAGAGTTCATTTTTCATTAATTATTCTGTTTAACATTTTACTCTACTTCAAAAATGATTTTGAGTGGTCAGCTTCATTTCCTGCTGCTCAAGTATGGGATTCTTTTTCTGGAGAAGGTCTGAATCAAACTGAACATTTTATCTGGGCTACTCATAACTGATTTGATAAAGCTTTGTGTGGGGAGAAAAATAATAGCCGTAAGTTTTGGGTAAAAAAAAAAAACTACTGTCAATTGTCCCCTTTAATGTTAACAACCAGTGCAAAGAACTTTTCCTTCACACCAAAGTAAACTAGCATAATAAGCCATATTATGCCAGCAACTTTAAACAGGACTTTCATTTTATTTAAATTAGTTCTGTGTTATACACATGCACTAAGTTATCTGCTGGCATAACATGGCCCTAATAAGTGTGTTTTCTTTGAATCTACAAGATATATTTTTAAAAAGCAGTGATAACTGGAGTATTCAACTAGATGGTGCTAACTTGGAACTGCATGAGGGGGTTTTAGATAAATATATTTATGTTTTCACACACTTCCTTATGGTAATGGGGGAGCAAATGTTTTCAATAATATGAAAAGTCTGACAGCATTGGGAATGTTTTTGTGTAGTTTCAAGAGTTTATTAGCTATGCTGGCATTGGTTTTTAGTGTCAAATGGATTTTTACAAAACTTTCTGTATAAGCCACAATTTTTATTGGCCAACATTCTCTGTATTTGATGTAAGTAAGTTTCAGTAGCACTTTCAAGGAGTTTTTATGGTTTGAATACTGTATATTATGCATTGTTTTCTATTTGTTTTTTACTAGCAAATCGCATGATTTATACTGTACTGCAGTAAAGAACTGCATTAAAATTGTTTTATCTTTATATTGATGTTGATTATTGGCCACAAGTTATTCCAGAGCATTATTTCATAGGAAAGGACTTGTGGTTTTGTAAGCCCAAAATATCCTCAGACAGCTAAGAGTGTGATCGCCCATTCCCATTTAGGAGGTTTGAAATGATCTCGCTGCAGTAGGGGCATGACCAATTCCTTCCTCCTTTGCCCTGGTGAGAGCATACCTGCACCAGCTTGTCTTTTAGAGAGGAGTTTGTATCCACCTTATTAAGCTTCCTGCCTTTACCAGTAATACCACACTATAGCATTTTTAAAAGATCCCTTAAACTTAAATACTGTAAAGTAACATGTCAAGGTAAGGTACAAGGTTTACAAGCAGGTAATCCAGTTGTTATCCTGTTCAAAAAAGGTCGTCTTACTGTAATTTTTTTGAAAACCCAGAGCAGTTTGCTCTAGCAAGAGAAGCAAAAAAAAATTTTTTTTTTTAATTAGATGAGGACTTAAAGGTACAGGACTTAAAGTAAAAATTATACAGTAAAGCTAGAACTACATTTAAACGGTTTCAGAGTTTTAGCTTGCGTTAATATCCAGTAAATACTTAAGGTGTAAATACTTAAAGTGCAAGATGGCAACCAACACACTCCTTTCTAAAGAATACTGGCTGGTCAGGCAAGAAGGCAGGCATCACGTCATCTGACAGTTTACATATGTTTAAATGGCTATTAATTATAACACATACATAGTTTAACACACAGGTTTTAATGAGGCACAATTGCCAAGTATTTTGTATAGGAGGTTGTTGGGTTTTTTTAAAGACCATATGGTACTGTTCCCAGTAGCCATTTGAGCATTTTCACTACAGCAGTGTGTGGGTTATATTGGTGAGAAGGTTTCTTTACTTTTCAGTATAAGAGAGCTGAAACCTACAAAATGTTTTACTATTTGGAATTAATCCAGAGAGAACACAGTGGCCTAAAAGGAGTTGAAATCCATGGTTGTGGACACCCTCCAGAGCTCAGAAATCTACCACTAGTGCTAATGAACTCTGCATAGACAAAGTGCCTTCATGATTTTTGAATTATTAAAAATAAGCTGTAATGACTACACCAGCACAATCAAAATGTACCACCATAAAATGAAATCTACACGGCATGCTTTACGGCATGATTTTATTTTGCAATAGCAAACAGTCACGAAGCAGGGTAATGAAAGGATAAGTTAAGCATTGAGTGTGCAGCAATTTCCAAAAGCACGTAATTAAACTGGCTTTAATTTATAATAATTGAATGTCCTTCATTATTGCATCTGATTCAGTGTTCAAAAAGTAACCAAATAAAAATGAAATATTTTTCCCAGTTGGCCAGAAAAGTTTATAAATAGGCCCACAGCCAACCCTGCTACAAATAATAAAACGTAGAAAAAAACCATTGTAATATCATACATAACATAACATAACCAGTTTGTGTTAAGTGTCTCAGTCCGTTCCAAAATACTTCTGTCCAAAATGTGTTGGTGCAACAGGATGAACTTCTGTAGTTAAAATTGTGATCTCTGGGAACTCCTGGATGATAGATTTGGCACCTTTTAAGGAAGAGAGAAGAGAATAGTTAAAACTATACTTTGTAGTTCAGTCCTGCACCTGTAGGATTTTATAAGCAGTTGAGCAGAGGTTGGTCCCCTACAGGTACATCACCTCTGCTGTTTGAATCACTTTTTGCATTTAGACCTGGTTGTGCAGCTGGCTGGCTATCAGAAGGCTGTAACAGATTAAGTGATGTGTATAGTCCTACTCTGATGAACAAAGTAGTTACAGGGTGCTGTGAATAACCCAGGTCTGATATGTCTTATTTAACTGCATGACAGGGGCAAGAATTTCTGCCGGTGTTAAATCTACAGTAGCAGGAAACCACAAAAGATCCCTCCCTGCAGTTTACAGAAGTGGTGCTTTCATTTTTGAAAACTGATTGGGAAGTCAACAGTAAGTAGTACCTAGCTATGTTCTCCACAGCTAAAAGCTGGCCTACTAGAGTTCACAAACAAAAGGTGGCTTTGCAATGCTCTGTAGGACATACACATTCTGTGTAACTGGCTACCATGTGATTCGTTTTTCCAGGAACTGTTCACAGCTGCAATTCTGTCTTCAGTCCTGAGAGCAAGCAGGCTTTCCTTTTCTACTACGTCTTTTTTTGAATTTCATGAACACCTCTGACAGGCATTAGAATGTCTCCGTTCTCTTATCCCACTAAACAGAAACCAAAAATCACTCAAAACCCCAAAAGTCAGCAGAGTAAGATGGAACCATATTCCCGTCTTAACTAGGCGATGCCACTGTTATTCACATGGGATTGCTATTGAGTCATACAATATATCCTTTAACAGAGAAGAGGGGAAAACATCACATTGAACCGACACTTTTCACATCACATTTTATAAACTACCTTTAAACCTTGTTTATTTACATTTTATCTATTCATTCCCTCAATCTATGACTTCTCTCACTTCAAATCACAAAATAAGACAACCTTAAATCAGCTCACTGGAGTTCCTTAAAATCTACACATTATGTACAATGCTGTGTTGTGTGAATAACCTCCTCCCCATCTATTCCTTCAACTTACCATGGGGTGTGGAGAACAAGCTTAGCAGGATAATGACACTTGGTTGAACGCCATGTTCTATAAGAACTTTTACAGCTTCAATGACAGTATTGCCAGTGCCTGGGAGGGGGGAAAAACAAGACTGCCCTTACTAGAAAAACTTCACAAATTATTTGGAACTAGATTAAAGCAGAATTCACATTCAGAGAGGATTAGTGTGCCACCAATCCTGGCATGTAAGTAAATGGAAGGATTATGTCCTTTTCTACTGCAGAACAAACCACTCACTCTGTATTATTTATGGAAGCTTAGTCTTTGAGGATGCTACTGCATCTGTGCACTAAAATACTTTATTAGGAGCCTGACCCAAAAGCCCATTGACATCTGACTCAGTCCCTAAGGCAAGAAGTCTCGGTTGAAATAGAAAATGGCAATCAAGAGTTCCCTGTGAAGGAGCAGAATTAAAAGTATTAGCAAATTTGCTTCAGCCTAACATAAGCTCTACTAGCTTCCAAGCCTCTTTGGGGTACTGATTAGTTTAATTTTGAAATAATTTAATGTATACTGTTAAAGAGAATTATTAATTTTAAAATGTAACTTAACTAGTATGTATTTAAATTCAAACTTTACTATGCTTAACATGCAACAATTTTAAACCTCTTCTACACTTATGTACTAAAATGTATATACAGTATTAAAAAAAGTCAATTTACAGCAAAGCCCAGTTCTCCCCCATCCCTTTTTCACATTCATACTCAAGTGATTTGTGCCACATTTATTTTATTTCCATTAGATCCACAGCCTCAACATGTGTATTTTGAAGACAATGCCTGAAAAACTAATGCATTTTGACTAATGCTTATTCTGGCAGAGCTTGATAAATTCTTTGCTGTGTTTCCCAAAGGCAAGCCAAAATCCTAATAGCCACTGACATTCAGGGAATTTTACACAGAGTATCCAATAGTCAAATGATATTTAATCCTATATAATAACTCGTAGATACTCACTCAGTATTGGGTACATGAGAAGAACTTTTCTTCTGTAAATGTCTGGTGGAAACTTGGCATAGTACACTTTGGCTCTCTGAGTCTCCTCATCACTCTGTATCAGGATTTTTCCTATTCGGATGGATCTGCAGCAATCCCGTAAGCCTTGTTCCATTGCCTCTCCTCCAGTTTAGCAACAAGAACAACAACAACAACCCTGTTACACAGCAAAGAAAGCACCACAAGCTACTACTGCTAAAAAGAGATATTCAATATTTAACTATGGTAATAATCTAACCATTTTAGTCATTTGGTTCCTTAACTGGAAGTTTTCACTCTGCTTGAACAATGAAGTTAGCTTGATCAGTATCAGTCACTGATTCCAAGCTCTAACCTAAGACAGGATATAGAGAATCTAAACAATAGCAAAATTTCCTACAAACATTTTAATCATTCCTAATCGTTTTGAAAAACAACTTCGAGCACTGATAAGGAAACTCATCTGTGACTCTCCAGATATTGATGCAATGTAAGGGAGAGAAAACATGATAGCCTCGTGCTAGTAGATCTTTAAGAACGATAAAAAGAAAACCTAGCATTCCCCAAAAAATAACACTTTCTACCAGTAGCCTGAGACAGACTGCTGGCTTAAGCCAGAGCTCTGCCACTACAGTCTGGCTGAAAAAGCCAATTACAGCCAGCTGAGCAAGCCCATGCCTGAAGAACTAATGGAAGCAGCTGTGGGCCTCAGTCAGCGAAGAAGCCAGGGAGTGGCTGAGTGTGTGCACCCCACCCAGAAGGAGAAGGTAGCTGAGTTAGCTGCTGGGGAAACCAAGCTCTGTAAACAGAAAGTGGTGGGAAGATTGGCACAAGCAATAAAAGACACAGGTGACTGCACCAGAGAGGGTCTCCTAGTGGTGTGGCTCAAGGGGTTCCAGGGCAAGGACCTTACCATATAACCACAGTTTACTTGAGAACTGTCTTTTTTTGGGGGCGGGGGGAGGAGAGGGTGGTTAATGGCAACAATGGGGGTTGAAGCAGGGGAAGGAGGGCAGGTCTTGTTCCATTTGAATGTTTTCAACCGAGAACCCCTTCTCTAGCAGCCACAGGAAATCCCCAGCAACTGTTTGGTAGAAGTTTTGGGGGGAGATGTGAAAGTTTCCACAGTGGGATAAGGGATTTAGGAGCTTGTAGCGCCAAGAAGGCAAAGGAAAAGGGTTTCTGTTATGCTTTCAAGGTATCAGTAGGGGTTTTTGTCACTCGGTGAAATACACATCTTCTCTTTGCTTCCTCTTTTCGGGGAGGAATATAGATGACTTAGAGAGGGGACTGAATTAATTTTTACCTAACCAATACTAGACTGTAATTGCACTTCACTACTGTATCTAGCAATGATGAATAAGCCCATTAGGTATTAAAATGATCGACATTGAGGTAGTTAATGAAGAAAACATGTTGATTGTCATCATTAGGCTTCAGAGTTATACTTGTATGAAAGAGATTAATAAGAACAATCTATAACTATCAGGTCTTTTTTTTTTCAAAGAAAACCTACTATCTGAGGGTATGTCTACACTACCACCCTAGTTCGAACTAGGGTGGTAGTGTAGACATACCCTAAGGGATTAATAAAAAGTTCTTGACCGTGGTGGGTGTAAACTTTGTTGTAACCAGACACTTATGAAGACAGAATGCTGGAGGACTTTGGTGAATTTTATCAGAGTAAAAGGGGGTTATTGCTGTTCTTAAAAGCCAAGGGGAAAAGATATTTAAAGAAGAGCTTTAAAACACAGACACTAAGAAATCATGGCTTACCACTTCTCATTATGCTGACTCCACAGTTTCCCTTTTCAAATTTCACTCCTTCATACTTGTACCCTGTGGAGGGAAAGACAGACCTGAAGGTCAATAGAAGTCATTTCCCCTTTTTAACCCATTTGTTGCCCCTTTAGGTTATAGAATGTAACTAGCTACACGTGTATGCTATACTTACACCGAACACACATCTCGAATTTTCTGGGAATGTCCCGATTTTAAGTACCCTGTTCTGGTGTCCCCATCAAGTAGTGAAATGTCCTGGAAAGCCCAGATATTTCACTACTTGATGGGGACACCAACTTGCGGGAAGAAGTGACTGAGTCCATGCACTGCCATTGCTCCTTGCACAGCGCAGCAGCATCCCTCCCATCCTCTCCCCGCAGAGCAGTAGGCGGTTCCATTGGAGCTTTGCCTGCTGGGCTGGGATTCTGGTGGCGCATGCTTTCTGGCCACTCAGCCACCCACTGCCCCACCACCACACAGCCCCCATCTTCCCCCCCACAGGACTGCCTCTGTCGAGTGGGGCCCCAGGTCCGGCCATGCAGCCTTCTCCTCCACATGAGCAGACAGCAGCTTGTTACAATGGCTGCTGCTGCTGGGAGGGGGAGAGGTGACCAGATCCAGGGCAAAAGGAACCATGTAGCTGCTCCTGGACCTCAGCACTTTTGAACTGTTGCCTGTGCCTCGGCAAGGGCCTCACGGAACCTGGGTGGGTCACTGCCACTCCCTCAGGGTGCACTCAGGCTCATTTAGGGAACGGCAGTGCATGGAGCTGCTCGCGCTGCTGCTCTCCACTGCGAGCCAGGTCTGGCAGGGAAGGTTGGGGCTTTCTTCTCACATGCCCCCCTGCATGTCCTCTGAGCATGAAGCCAGAGTTGGTGCTGCAGCCTCGCAGCTGCATGGCCTCCCTGCTGTGTAGGATGGGGGGCGGGGAGCTGAGCTCCCTCGACCTCCCCACCCTGCTGGGGGAATGGCAGCACACTGTCTGGAGTCTTTCCCCACTGCACAGGGGGTGCAAAGCCAGGTAAGCGTTCCCCCTCATACCCAGACCCCACAGCCAAATCCCCCTCACTCCCCTTCCCCCACTTGCTCCTGCACTCTCCCTCCTGGCCTGACCTCTTCCCTCCTGGACAGACACCCTACCCCCAGTCCACTCCTGCTCCTTCCCTCCTAGCCAGACACCCTCCCTCCTGGCCAGAGATCCTATCCCAACTTGCTCCTGCATGCTCCCTCCTGGCCATATACTGCACCCTGCCTTGCCCCTCCTCTCTCGCCCCAACCAGACACCCTACTCTCAGCCTGCTTCTGCATCCTACCTCCCACTCATCCCTTGCACCCTCACCCCTTCCTACACCCCATCTCCTGCTCAACTCCTACAAACTCATCCCTATCCCGCCCACTGGCAGCTCTGTCCTGCACACAGAACCCCTCATTTTTGTCTCCACCCCAGAGTCTAAGGGAGTCCACAAAATCATTAACTCCACAACCCCAGGAAAGTAAATCTGGCCTATGGGAAGCACTAAACCTCATTCCTCCCTGTATCGTCGCCTCGCCCCATGGAGCTGGAGTGCCAGAGG